GGACACGCAAAAAAATCCGATTTCACGAAAAAAATGGGAATTAAGCATTAAGGCCTGCAGTGTGAATGTAGCCAAAGTGGCCTGGATCGCATTTGAAAAAATCAGATCTGTGTCGTTCAGACTGTCATAAAAAGATCAGATACAGGTCACATATGGGCAAAAAAAATCGGAATTGAGCATTAAGGCCTGCAGTGTGAATGTAGCCAAAGTGGCCTGGATCGCATTTGAAAAAATCAGATCTGTGTCGTTCAGACTGTCATAAAAAGATCAGATACAGGTCACATATGAGCAAAAAAAATCGGAATTGGGTCACTTCAGGCTGCAGTGTGAACGTAGCCTCACAGACGTGTTTCGGAGGAGTCAAGTGACCCAAATTGGGATCGGAACTGGACGAAATAGAAGAGTGATAAAAAGTTTTTTAAAGCATAACATCTGACAGTTTTTTTTTTTCATTATTGGTCCAAATAGTTCCATTAAATCCTTGACTTCAAGTGATGGTTTCAGAGACGTAACTATGAATCCCTTTTATCACAGCTTTAAATGGAAGCAGGAAAAGGCAATGTGTAGGAATTAAAGCATGAGATGTTGAGGGGAATAAATGATGCAGAACTGAAGTTAAAACCCTGGAAAAAAAAAAAGAAAAAAGCCTTTTGTCCCACTGGACTTTTTGTCTCTGAAAGAAACACAAGTGGGTTAGAAGTGAGCAGAACGCTACAAGAAGCTGTGAATCAATGAGCTCCAGGCTCGTCTATTGTAAATTCTTCCTTTTAACAAATCTTTGCTGCTGTAACAAATTATTCTGAGTACCCATCCCTTCAAAATTGATTCGTTATCTCTTTATTCAACACCTAATTGGCTATTAAATCATTAAAACACATAAAATGCAGAGTGATGGCAAATCAATTAAAATAAATCCCTGCCTCTCTCTCTTCCCCCCCGTGGAAGACGGCTTCCATCGCCGAGAGGATCTGACAGCCCCTCTGGCGGTAGCATTTAACTGGGCTTCAGAAATTTAATTTTCCTCCAGCCTCCAGTTTACAGCAGCAGACTGAATCTAGAGTCATGTGGGAGGAGAGGAGCGTTATCTGTATATTGGCAGAGCTTTGCTAGGAGTTGGAGGTCGTCAGGTGGACCAAGGAAGGCGTCTGGAGCTAAAATCTGAGCCTATCTGACCATCCGAGACAGAAAGGGAAGGTTTTGATTAGGAAACGGAAAAGCTGTTGCTGCTCAAGGTGTTGGCAATGAGAAAGGAAACAGGAAGCTGTGAGTGTCACTGCTTAGTATTTACAGATTCCTTTGAGTGTCCTTCATGACTAATGACATTCTCTCCCCTCTAGGAGCTAAAAGAGTTGAGAGACTGGGGGTCGTTTATGGACGTGGATTGATAAGCACACCTCCGAACTGATGTCCCTCATCAAAAGAAAGAAAACCTTTGATACTCAAGCATACCTTCTGGAAATGTCACAAAGAAGGACAGTCCTCTGTCCCGTTAAGCATGACAAAACCGATTCCTCACCTTCATATGTTCCGCTCTCCAGCAGAGCTCCGCTTTTCTCCAATTCCATAAACCGGTCAACGGTCACAAAGTTATAATCCACGCCTGGGACCTCTCCCTCCTTAGGCTGCCTGGTAGTACCTGCGGGAGAAAACGGAGCATTTAGAGAATCACTGCTGTGTGCAGGAGGCTGGGAGAGGACAGGTGTGTATCAGATTTATACTGGTTCATTCACTCGGCTTATTTGCATTTTGAACACTATTCAAATATTGTAAAAGCGGAAAATTATACCCCTATTGTGTTGCAAAAAGTAACGCCAGCAGGCTGAACTAGAATGCATCCCTAATTGTTAAAACACTGCGTTTTCATTCGACTCTGGTGTTAATTCACCGCTCTGTCGGTTGGTACCAATGCATGTAACCTACTTCCATTTTAAACACCCATGAGGTGTCATTTTTACCTTCCTGTGCAAAACCCAGGAAAAAAAAAAAGATTTCTGTAATAAGGTAAAGTTATAGCAGAATAGTTTTGGTGTTTTTTGGAAAATCTTGCAGAATTGGAAAGAGTTTGATAAGAAGCAAAAATGTCTTTATAAAAAAAAAATATTTATTGATTATATTAACCCCGTAATGCCAAATGTATCGTATTTGATACATATGGTTTCTGAAATGTTTTG